TCTATGACACACAGGTATTTCTGGAAGGAAAAAGCTCCTGAAAACATGCCTTGTGTTTAGCATTTCTGTAGTCAGGTTCCTGAGGTTTTTTGTCTCTCCCAGGTGTTGTCCCTGGTCTCTAGAGCCTTGGAGTTTTTTCATGATTTGGTGAAACAATTCTCTTGATATAGGTTTTGTCTCTCCCAGGTGTTGTCCCTGGTCTCTAGAGCCTTGGAGTTTTTCATGATTTGGTGAAACAATTCTTTTGACATAGTTCTTCATAGCATATGATGCAGATAATTTTCCCACATTGATTTTACAGACAAGTATTTACAACTCAAGAGCTTTTTGTTTAAAGCAGAAAGTATAAGGGCAGTAATTTCTCCAACACAAGAGCTGGAAAAATGTCTTCAATACTTTATTTTTTTCCTCAAAAGCCGTTTAAATTCTTTGGGGCAACAAGCAGCTTACAATCTGTCCCCAGAATAGCAATAATGAGACTGTGATCAGTCCCATTCTGGAGGCACTGGGCACTCCTTCCTGCCATCATTATTGGTGTTGAGAGGCAGCACCGCCAAGCTTTTCAATACCATACTTTGCTCTTGTGACCCTACCTGCTGCACCTCATCATCCCCTTGGCTGCAAATATGGAAACATCAGTGCCTGACAGGGAAGACAAGCAGGAGATGTTGAGGCTGAGTTTTCCATTGCAGAAATCTGTGGATAAGAATCTTTTCATTTCCTTTGCTAAGTACTGATGCTATTAACAGCAATTCATGATTCTAAAATTTGCAGCATACACTAGCTCACCAAGCAACTGAGAAGAGAGTGGCAATTAACTTAATGAAAGCCCTGGGAAGCAGTCAGAGAAGTAGCAAGGATTGCTCCCTTCAACCTAGGGCAGGCTCCTGCTCGCAATCTGGACAGAAAAATCTCCATATCCCATTACCAATTCTCTTCAACATGCAAACCCAAGAAATACTGATACGAATCCATGAATAATTAAGTTTAACCTGATGTTAGCAGAAACTGGATTGGGGATGTTAGACTCTTCATTAGTTCACTGGCAGGAAATAGCCTGGATCAAATTCAGTCTGTAAGCAATTCCTTGGAAACAAATAGAGCTAGTTCAGCAAACACTTTAGTTCTGAGTCTCAGGGTTAAAGAATCTGCTACTTTCTTCCAATGCAGAAAATGAAAAAAAAAAATTATAGATTGCTTTTTGAAAGTTGTTTATGCTAATAGTTGTCTTTAATCTCGGGATGCAAACATTTCCTACCCACCATGAGGAGACTCAGGTTTCCATGTTCTGGGAGGCTGGGCCTGCTTCATCTAAAAACTCTCTCCCTGTGTTTCCATACTGCCCCTCATGAGGATTTTCCTCCTCCTTTCCCCAAGGATCTCTGCCACCCTACTCTTCCCTCACCAGGGATTGTGCATTCCTTAGTCCCTCTTCCCTCAAGGGCCCTCTTCCTACTCACCCTGCCAAGGTGTGCATCTGCTAAGCAGATGGCAGCTGTGCCATGAGCCCCTCATTTCCAGGTTTTTAATTTCCCTGCCCTTTTATGCCCACTGATGCCCTGAACAACTTTGGACAGACTGAATGAATCAAAATTAATCAGAGAGGACTATTAGGTTCTCCAATTGCCAATGTTTTGAGCCAAGCTGATCAACCCTCGTGGTGAAATAGCCTGAAATGAAGTGATAGCAGAAAAGGATAGTTGAGGGAACTGCAAGTTGAGGACGACTTAGGAAGTAAAAAAAGCTCCACTGTAATGCATTAGGGCTACCATGGATCAGCTGCTATTCAGCATCCTGTGCATTTCCCAGTACGTGCAGTGGCACCATGATTCAGGTCCATGCAGGTCATGGCCATGGACAGCTGTGGCCATGGATGGCTGATGGATTTAAGCTACTTCCCATGAGGAAGGGAAATAAAAGGCTCTAAAGCTAGAAATTTCTGTCCAAAATAAACATCCTAAAACCTGGAGATCTCTCATCACAGAAGATGCTTTGCATGAATCTCCAAGAACAGTTTTGGATATCTCATCCAGGTTTAGAGTGATCCCCTCTAACTTCTCCAGCACAGGGAAAACAGCTGATGTTTGTTAGAAATGGGGACACTACATGGGAGCTTTCCCAGTTCCTGAAGAGCAGCAACAGGTTGTTCTATGTTGCAGAACATGTATGTAAACTATCTGAAACAGTACTGGAGGTAAGAGCTCCTCCCTGCCCAGCTTATTTTCTCCAAATCTTTGTTTTATTGTGCTCAGTTTGAACATGAAGTAGGCTTTAAATGTAATTTTAAGTGCTCTCTGTTACCTACATCCTTCTTCACATGGCATATTTAGATATATTTTTTCTGATGCCTTTACCTTTAATGCCTACACTTCAGAGTTCAGAAACTCAGCTCAGAAATTGCATGTATGAATAACTTCCAAATAAAAAAGTTAAGCTCCTAGTTTTGCTCAGACAATACCAACACCAGCCTGGAATCAGCACCAGAATCACATTAAGGCTGGACCATCCAGATCAAGTGATAACCCAGCACCACCACTATGCTCATGGCTAAACTGTATCCCCAAGTGCCACATCTGCATGTTTTTTGAACACTCCAAGGATGGGGACTCCACCACTGCCCTGGGCAGCCTGATCCTATGCTTGACAACCCTTTTGGTGAAGAAATTTTTCCTAATATCTAGTCTACACCCTTCCCTGGCACACCTTGAGGCCATTTCCTCCTGTCCTGTGACACCCCTTTTTACCTGGGAGTAAACCAGGTAAAAAGGGGTGTCAACCTTGGGGGTGCCCACCTTGAGGCCATTTCCTCCTGTCCTGTGACACCCCTTTTTACCTGGGAGCAGGGCCCAGCCCCCACCTGGCTGCAGCCTCCTCTCAGGGAGTTGTAGAGAGTGAGAAGATCCCCCTGAGCCTCCTTTTCTCCAGGCTAAACACCCCCACCTCCCTCAGCTGCTCCTCATGGAACTTGTGCTCCAGCTCCATTCCCCTCTCTGGACACACTCCAGCCTCTCACCATTTTTCTTGAGGTGGGGGGCCCCAAACCAGTACTTGTGGCCCCACAAGTGCCCAGCACAGGGGGAGGGTCCCTGTCCTGATGCTGCTGGCCACACTATTGCTGATAAAAAACAAGATTCCCTTAACCTTTTAGCCACCTGGGCTAAGGTGACACAAGTGACAGCTGCGACCTCTGATTGAGTCTTATGTCTCTGTCAGCACTTCTAACAAGCCTTGGACTTCAGCATTTTATAGGCTTCCTCTTTCCAAAACAAAGGGGAGGCTCTCAAAAGCAACACCACTGCAGAGTAATGAGATACCACCTGAAAATGTGGTGGCTTTGTATACTCCTCATGACAAAAGGCTTCCTCCTATATATTAAAATAAATATTTCATGCAGAATAAAACCCATCAAATCTATTTCTAATTAATGTGTTTATTCTCAGGATGGTTCTTAATCTACTTGCCAGAACTACTAGGACTCACCCACAGCCTGTTCTTTCCTCCCACCAGTCTCTTGGTGAAGTCACACGAAGGCTTTCTATATGTTGCAGGTTGGATTTAACCCAGGGTTTTTCCCCAAGGTGCAATTTTCCAGTCTCTACCATCAGGAACACCTGAGTAGCTTACTGCCTGACATTCAGAGCAGGAGCACTCTGTTTTGCAGGCTTTAAAGTTAACAGGCTGATTTTCCAGCTTTAGAAGCTTAGACAGCACAAAAGTTCAAGCTGTTTTCCTCCTGTCTCCAAGATTCAGCAAAAGCACACAATGGAATGAAGATGAGAACAGGTAGCAGGTTAAGGCTTTTGTTCCCTTTCTGCTGTGCTGTGGGGACAGAAGAGATTAGCTCTCTGACTGATGCACCTGCTCCAGTTGCGAGGGAATGCTCATATTCAGTTCATGCAGAGCTGGAGATTTTCTAAATGCCTCCAGGGACTGGACTTGTCTGTCTCAGCCATGCAAGAGCTGCCTGTTTGCTGCCTTAGAGCAGCTGTGAAGTAGCCCCTGCATCAGGAGGGCAGCTCCCCTGCAGACACACCAGTCTTCAACAACTGCTGCGTTATCCTGAGAGCAGCTCCAAACTCACAGGAGAGCTACTGAAGTGGATTAAGCCACTGCTTCATGGCATCCACTCTGGCTTTTAAGAGGCTCCATCATGCCCCCAGCAGAGGTGTTTCAGTAAGCAGGAGGCCTGGGGAGGCTGATATAAAGGACTTAGATAGGAATCAATGGGACAATCAAGATACAATCATATTGGGAGCCCTTCAAGTGGAGAGGGCTGGGGGAAGGATGCCAGCTTTACACTTCTGTGAAATTAGAGCCCTGGTGTTTGTCATGGTAATAAACTCATGTATATAACAAAGAATGTTGTTGTAACATCAGATGTTCCTTTTGCTGCACACTGAAGCAGAAGTTAGACTGAAAGGAGAATTTGGTAAATTATTTTTGTTGAAGGCATTATGAGGTTAAAACCAGGCACTCCAGACTTGGGCAGCTGAAATAGTCATTCTTTCCCCTCACACCACTTTGCTTCCACACAAAATCCCTTCTAACTTCAGCTCTTGCTGAAGCTCTACAAAGGGTGGCACATTCCAATAGCCTGCATACACTGCCAGTGAAGCATCACACTAACCAAAACACATTCAGATCACTTTTCCTGATTCCTAGTCTGAAACAAAACAACACGTGAGAAATTAAATTAATTTGGATGTATTCCTCCCTATTTAATAAGCAGTCACATAGAGAGGAACCAAAATGCTGGCTCAGAAACTCCCAGGCTTACCTCCTTGCTTTTATTCCTAAAGCAAAGGAGGCATTTCCATGGCATCAAGCAGATGGCTGAAAAAAGCATCTTTCCTATATCAAGCTCCATGTGGAAGCTCAGAATCTATGTAAGGTACGAAAAAGCTACAAGCTGGAGGAATGAGGGGGTGGGGATGAAGGAAGAAGGAGGAGGAAAAGACAGGGGGTGGAGAGTAACACTGGAGAGCAGCAGTGGTCCAGCCCCTCAGAATCTGAAAAGCATCACAGGAGCCTCTGGATAAAGAGCAGCTTCAGGAGCAGGGCTAGGAGACAGAGGATTTCTGCACAGAGATAAAACATGGTGAGTAGGATTTTGTTATCTGCCTTGTTTGCTCTGGTGCAAGGGCATTTCTTTTGCTCTGACACAGTGACTCTAAGTGAGTATTATTTTGGGATGACTGCTTGTTTTTGAAGCATTGCTTTTTACTTATTTTTCCATACATCTGGCAAGTCTGTGCCTGTATTTATAAAAATGTACATCCTATCTCCTTTTAAAGCAATAAATTACTGAGGACAGCTAAATCTGTCAGTGTTAACACTTTGCTGTCTGGTACCAACAGACTGCTTGTCAGGGCAAGAAAAAAAAGCCCTGTTTCCTTCTCAGGTATGCAGTGGAAATTTCTGCTCTGCTGCCTTCTCTTAGCAGCACAGTGATGATTCGAAAGCTCCCTGCGCAGGAGTTAAAGCTGCCCTTTTACATGATGTAATTGGAACATTTCAACCAGTTACATTTCTTTCAGCCTCAGGTATAGAAGAAAACAGAGTGAGGGGTGCAGAGATTTTGTCAGAGAAAGAGCCTCCTTTTGTCATGGGCTCAGCCTCCTTCTGCCCTGCCACACACCCCATGCGTGGCTGGGGGATGCTGTGGGTGCCCCACATGGGGCTGGGGGATGCTGTGGGTGCTCCACTTGGGGCTGGGGGATGCTGTGGGTGCTCCACTTGGGGCTGGGGGATGCTGTGGGTGCTCCACTTGGGGCTGGGGGATGCTGTGGGTGCTGCTGTGCCCCCAGGGATCCCTCCTGTCAGCACGCAGCAGGACAGTGTGCTGGGAGTAGAAACGTGGTTAATTTTACTATGAAAAATCCCGAGCTCCACAAAACAGTTGTCAGGGCTTAGAGGAAGGTTCAGACTTCCCTATAGCACATTGCTAATAAGATTAAGCATTTAACTACACATCTTTCTAGTATTCTGCTGGGGAGTGTAAGATTTTACTTTGTGTGCTCAGTGGAATGAGGGTTGAATTAAAAACACTCCAATGTGGTTTTTGCTGGTTCTTCATAAGAAAGCCATTGCCTGACCTAAATGTATATGCAAATAATTAGGCACAAGAGAGAGACAAATGATTAAGGGGAATGATAAGATACAGCCACTAAGGATGACGAGAGGAGTACTCCTAAGGAGAGGCATGATCTCAATGCAGGTTTGTGTGTCACACAGGCGCCTTTAAAAATAAACATTCTGCTGTTGCCTGAATCACGACTGTCCCTGATTACATCCTACAGCCTTTCCACCCTGTTCTTTTCTGCTTTCTAATGGAGATGAGATGGTAGCAGGGTAATCAGTTTAAGGGAGAAGATGAGCTCTGCTTTAAAATCCTCTTTGCTTTTTACCAGAAGAACTGTTATGTTTATTTGCTTGCAAGAAATAGTGTTACAATAACTGCAGTGAGAATATCACCCTCTGGCAAGGAAGCCGTATTCTGCTTTGCAATTAAAAATCAAATTAACAGAATGGAATATATGTTCATGATTATTAGCAAGTATTCCCATTATTAACTTTCATCTTCTCAGATAGGCAATTAATATTTTTGCCTATAAATAAACAGTCTTATTCCAAAAATCTCCCCCCACCACACACTTTACTGGGAGCACCAGCTGTTCCTTATGCACTGCTAATTGATTAAATACTAAAGATTAAAATTAGTGTTGTTCACTGACTTTAAAAGTAGCTGTGGCTTTCACCACCTCATGCTTGCTTGTTTTTTGCATTTTAGGACTTCCAGCTGGTGGTCAGTAAAAATCCTCCTGAGGCTAAGAATTGTGAGAGCCTCCCATAGGCTCTGTTTTTTTTTCCCTTTGCCATTACGCAATTTATCAAGAAATATTTCTAAAAATGTTCATCTTAAAATGCATGGATTTGAATCTTAATGCATGTCCATATACCCAAACAAGAGAGATGCTCTCAGGAAATTTAATTATGTTACAATTTCTGATGGAAAAGCAAGGCAACATTTTCAAAGGTACCTCTGATACTCAGCATCTTAAGTCTGATTGATATGAAGCCACTTGTGGAAAAGGGATTTTGGACTCACTCCAAACTTGTATCCAAAAATATAAAAGCAGTACAAAGAGAGGTTTTTCCTTATTTTTGCATTAAAAATCTTGAGAGACTATTCAGTTTTTATCAACTTTTTCATTTAATAAAAGGAAAATGCTTGGAGGGAGGTGAAATTCAGATGCTAAGTGACGTGAAGAACTCTGCTTAGCAAGAGACAGCAAGGCACCATCTTCACAGCTTGCTAATTGTAGGGGTGATATAAATGTAAAGAAAGAACACTCCTATCTCCACTTCAAAACCAGTATATTCTGAATTTTACCTATTTCTATCTCCAAGAGAGACAATTATATATAAATTACACATTAAACAAGCAAGTAAGAGAGGTCCAAGCTGAATCACTGATAAGATTTTGAAATAAATGAATCTCAATTACATTTTTTTCTACTTGAGCAAAATTTTATTTGAACTAGACTTGCCATAGCTGGAGACTTAAAATTTCCTCCTTGTAATAGTATTATTTCTATCTATGCAATCTTGCTGAAACAGTTACTTCTACTTTCCCAGTAGAATGGTATTCCTAGAATTACATGCAAGAGGACTGATGTTTTACCTTTTCTTTGCAGATAGCCTAAACAAACCTTTCTATTGAGTTACAAGCTAGAAAGATGCAACAACGTTGATCTAGCCAAAAGCCCAGAGCAAGGTTCCCTCACAGTCCTCCACAGAGGAAAGTTGTAGATGGCTGGCAGAAAGTGCTGGGGCCATGGGCAGAGGCAAATGTGACCCTTCTCTTTGACTGCCCTGACAATACCTGCAGAGTTTGAATCTCCATTTCCTAATGAATGTCTGGTTCCATTGCACCCCTCTTTGGACTTAGGGAGGATTCAGGCCATCTGAATATGGCTCTTAATAACCAGAACAGTTACCTAACTCAGTCTTGCTCAGGTCCTCATAACCCAGATCCAGAAGCAATTGCTGTGATTGTCCTAAAATCAAATCTCCTCAGCCCACAGCAAAGTGTTCATCTTTCCATTCTATAACTTTAATTTACTTTTAGATGAATCACAGATGCAGTAAAACCTCCTGGTTTTAGGAAAAGCCTGTGACACACCCTGCCCAGATGGTATATGTTTGAGCATGAAGTAATTCTGCATTTTATGAGCAATATTACCCAAATATAAAGGAAAACCTTACTCCCATTATAGTTTCAGCCTCAAATCTGGGTCTAATTGCCTGCTTAGACACCTGTGAAATCCTAAAAGTGAGCAGCTGGTCTGATCAAGCCAGATAAAAAGTGCTGTTTACTGTGGATGGGAAGCCTCAATGCTGCTGCTGCTGCACCCAATCTTTAGCTGTAAAAGACAACTAAACTGTAGCCCAGTGTAAGATTTGAGGATGTCCTCTATTTAAACACATTCCATAAGTAATTTTGCAGATATGTAAAAAACCATTTTGTTATTAATGAAGAAAACATTGAGACACTCAGTACACTGACTGCTAGTTTCTACTGCTTTCTGTTCTTTACAGGGACTTTTAAATGCAAGTTGTATTTCCTTTGCAAAGATGGAAACCAGGCCCTCATATATCTTTTATCCCTGAGGAAGAAGTGATATCCTGCAAGTTCAAGGGAAGAACAATTGAAAAGGAACAGAGACAGGCACTGGTGTAGCTGAGTGCATGGGTCAAGAAATCCCAGAAAAAATGTACTGTTTTAAATGCCTGTAATAATTTTGTGTAGGATTTTGATTTAGCTTTACATAACCACTGGAGGATAACTTTCCCTTACAGCACTTTAATCTGTTTCTAACTTCACTGGTGCAGCTTCTGGGGTTAGAGATAGAACTTGTGTCCCTTCAGAGACCCAAAAAAACCCTGGTATAGTGGTATAATCCATTGCAATGAAAAAGGTTAAAAGTATTAATAGATATAGAATGAGAGAATCCTCACATAAATATTTCCGGTCTATTTTTGGAATGAATTTCATTGGTAGTTTACATCACATGATTATGAAGAGGAACTCAGAGTGTGGGAAGTTACAAAACAGCATCTAAAAATTAAAAAAAAAAATCTGTAGACTCTGGTAGTCTGAAAAACCCTCAAAGGGTTGACTGAGGAGGTCTTCCCTGTCTTTTATTCATTTTAAATAACATTTTTAATGGGGGAGTTTACAAAGATGTGACAGCCTTAGAATAAGCAGGATGACACAATGAACTAGATACTAAGTCTGGCATGAATCCTGAGGGAGAATTGGAAATAGAATATATGGGAATAAATAGTAACATTAAATAATTAGAATATAAATATGGTGGTTTTATATATATATATATATATATGTATATGTATATATAATTTTTAAAAAATCCAACAAACCAAACCACAAAATCCCCACAAAACCAACACAACAGCTAACACTTTTTTCCTCATCAGAAGAAACTGAAAAGGCAGCATCAGCTGCCATCAGTGTATCTTACATTATTATACTACAGATATTCTCAGTAAATATGTTACTTGGGCCATTTTGGCTTTCAAGATAAAATTGTTCATCTAATCTATAAAAAAAAAGACAGGACAAGCCTTGAAGTTTCTAGACCCAGTTATCAAACTGATCATCCATTGTGTTTCTTGTCAGGGAGATAAAATTCACATCAAACATTACTTTATTCCAAAGATTATCCAATTTAATCCTAAATTCTTAACTTTAATATGTTTCATACTTGGCAGTAAATAAATCCATCTCTACAAGCCTTTTTAATGCATCTGCAGAAAAGTTCCCAAGTATGGAATATCCTACAAAAGTGACCTTTGCTTAATGCTCAGAATGGGCAGAAATAGCTGCAGGACTTCAAAGAGTCCTACATCACATTGTTGTAAGGCTGGCCCTTGCCAATGTCACAGACCTCTGAGGAGCTTCTTGGCAGTCCCTGTACTGTACCTATTTCTGCACTTGCAAAGGACTGAGGTGTCAGACACTCTGTTTCTGGGATATTAATAACTGGTCTCGCATCAGCTTTTTCTTATTGTTTTCACAGCCCTGCTGGAGTTCTGCATGCTGAATTGCTTGTTGATCACACCTTGCTTTTCAGAAGAGGAGTGTAATCGTGTCCCAGTGACCTATTTCTAAATATGCAAAACAAGTTTCCCATAGCATCAGTGAACTCCAGATACCTGACAGGGTAGTAAAATGTTTACTGGCTTTCATTAAGACTGTTCTGTAACACTCACACGGAGTGCCAAGTGCAGATGAGTGTGCCAACATCTCAATCACACTGATAGACGCTCATCTATCACTACCCACCATGTTTCCACATGTCAAATATTCACACTTTGCCCTTATGTTCTCTGCCTTTTATCACTGACCTACATTTATTTGTAAATATTGCTAATCACCTGTTAGTTTGCAGCTTCTAGAAGAAAGGGGCTGTCACTGATTTGCCTGCTGGAGAAGTGCTCCCAAATACACAGTTCTGCATCTTGTGAGGTGATTGTCAGAGTGTGGCTGTTCCAGCAAGGCCTGGCAACTGGAAAGCTTTTGGAGGCTACAGGCAGCTGTTATAGTTCAAAATAGCCTGAAGACTGCTTTAAGTTCTATTTTAGGAGTACAAAACCTAGGCTTGGTGCTGAATTAAAGATCCCCTGTTCAGTGTCTCCAATTGTTTAGTTATGTCTAACCTTTTCAAAACAAGATAAATCATTAAATGAGGTTTCATTCGGGAGAGATCCAAGCACGTTCTTTCAAGAACAGGACTTGGAGTTATTGTGCTGTTTCCCACCAAGCAAAAATATGGTTGGTCCTACAGCTTTTAGGCAGTGCTTGGTTCTTCCCTGACCTACCTTTAAGGAAATCCATTGTCTTAATCAATATTCAAGTTGATGCATGACAGGAAGGGATGAGATCTTTCCACGAAAGAACTGCCAGAAAACTGACAGGGACATGGCTAAAATAATTAATGAATAATTAGATTTATGAAAATATAAAACAGGTTCAATACAAAATTATACAGGCAGAGCCTGGAACTGGCATTGATGCAGGTACTAGAGTATTTTTAGAAATAGCTAATCAATGGACAGTGCAGACTCAATATGGCAATGCCTCTGTGTGCCACACTGGTCTTTGTAAGTTGGAGATGACACTTTTGTCATGACAATGATTTTCAATGTGGCCTTTTTGATTTTTGACAATAAAAGCAGCAGTGTAGAAAATTATATATTTTGCTCAGAGGGAAGCAAGATCAGTAATTCAGCCTCTGCATGCTTCCACGGTAGTACCAAGATTTATGGATTTTCTATTCACAGATAAGGATTATTTTAATATAAAGTGAGCCTTGTGTGTTGAAAGTTTGATCCGTTTTCTCAGGAGATTTCCCAACTTAAGATTTTTGTCCTTTTCTAAGGTACAGATCTATGAACTGCTGCCTACCTGATACACACATCTGCATGTTGAAGTTTCTCAGGCATTGCTTTTCGTTGTTGCCTCTTCCACCTTCAGAACAGGACCTTTGCCCTGTTAAAAAGCCATCCTGAAGTCATAATCCTCAATGCAAATCTGTTTATTTCTAACAGACAAAATGTTCTGTGAGCCTCAGCTACCAACCCATAATATGCACTGTTTTCTCCATGTTGAATCTTCCAGCCAACACACCTTTAGTTTTACTCAATCTGTTTCTCATGCAGTACCATGACTCAATGATGGAAATGTCTGATGGCAGAGAAGTTCAATTTTATAATGTTTAATAACCCTTCCTTTGTTCTCCAGTTGCTTTCAAAATTTACAAGTGCTACCCACCAACCTCACAATAGCTGTGTTCTGCTGTTTTCTTTACAGAAACAGATGTGAGGAAGCAGTATGGAGCTCAAGAGAGGAAAGACCTTCATAAAATCCAGTGTGCAACATGAGAAAGTGCCACCAGTGCATGCAGCTCCTACCAACAAAGATGAGATGGGCAAGGATAAAAAGGCAGCTCTGGAGGGAAACCAAAGTGTGGCCGAAGTCCAGCTGGCATGTTTGGCCACACACAAGAATTACAGATTTTCTACCAGAGCAGCAAGGAGTGGAGCTGGTGGTCACAACCTGGAAAAATCATCTGGCTCCTCCTACAAGCTTGTAAGGAAGAGTAAAACCCATGAATGTGTTGCTGAGGCAGACAAAACAGAGAACTGCAGCCCCAGCAGCAGGGCTTGCGAGGAGGGTTTTGTTGGAAAGGGCAAGGGCCGGCTTGTAAATAGCATCAGCTTTTCAGGGATGTCCAGCTCCAGCAGTAAGAAGGAGTGTGTGGTCAGCCCCAGCCAGTCTGCCTGCAGCAGTCAGATGATTGATTACAGGAACTTTGTGCCACAGATGCCTTTTGTACCAGCTGTCGCAAAAACCATTCCCAGGAAGAGGATTTCCCTCAAGAGATCTAAGAAAGGGCTCAGAGATATATTTCATATAAGGAAAAACAAACCAGAGAGCCTCTCATTTCTGGTGGAGAAGGACAAGAACCTGTCCTCTCCAGGCTGCAAGAGTGAGTTGTCTGGACGTCTTGCAAAGTATCTTTTCAAAACTGGAGAAGCTTGTGCAGCTGATTGCTTGTCACAGGACTGCTCAGACAGTGAACTGCAGTCTGACTCCTCCTATGACTACTGCAATGCCCTGTGTGAAGATGTTGCCTCTCTGAAGAGCTTTGACTCCCTCACTGGCTGTGGGGAAATCTTTGCTGATGAGAGCTCTGCTCACCTGGAGCTGGAGAACAGCAAAGACCTTCTGTTGAGGCGAAGCAAGCACAAAGACAGCCCTGGCATGGGCTCCTTCCAAGGTGGGGTGGAGCAGCTGGCCTCTCCTGGCCAACATGAGACAGTGGAATTCGCAAAGTTTTGGGACAACATCAACAAATCAGTAAGGCTGCATCAGAGTGCTCTGTTTGAAAAGAAGTTACTGAAAATACCTGGTTCTGACACAGAAAAGGATAGAAGTCAGGCTGCTGTACTGGTCACAGACCCCCAAGTGTCACCTGATAAAGAAGGTGACAATTCCAAAGCCAGCTCCACAGAAACAGAAACACCAAAAAGTGAAAACCAGGAATCCACATCCACGAGTGATGAAGGCTACTATGATTCATTCTCTCCTGGACAAGATGATGAACTGAAGGAAGCTCAGACCCCTGGTGTCCCAGGTAGATTTCCAAGAGACAGCTACAGTGGAGATGCCCTTTATGAGCTCTTCTATGACCCAAATGAAGTCAAAGTAAACCCTGTTCTTGATGATGACTTGTGTGCCTCTGAAAGTGTTTCAGAGCAAGCCATTGAAATCCCTTTGTCCATTTACAGCTTTCATGTTGGAGCTGAGGAGAACATGGCTTCCCAACCAACTCTAGACATCATTAGCCAGGGTTTTTTCCACAGCACATGGAAAGGCAAGGAATGTTTGCTAAAGCTCTGTGATACTGAACTTTCCCTGACCATGGGGATAATAAACTGGCTACGAAAACACTCGGGACTCATCTCTTCCCCTGACTCTCTTCAGAGTCCTCAATCACAGCCAGAAAAATCTAATGAGTCATTGGTCCTGCCCAGTCACAGTCCAGAGCAGAAAGGGAGCACAGAAGCTCAGCAGGAGATACCAGGCAAGGGTGAGTCTAATACACTTAATGTATGTGTGCCTTTGGAGGAAAGCAAACACACAACCCAGACCTCTTCAGTAAACATTGCTGGAAGAGACCACAGCCTGGATTCCTGCCTGAACACATCTGATCTGGATTTCCAAGGAAGAGAAGGGAGTCACCACAAGGATTTACCTACAGTGCCTGGGACTGTGGAAACCACCAGATCATCAAGTTATGCACCACAATCACAGGCTAACAGAGACAACCTGCAGACATCTTCAGTGGAGAAGGTAGCCATTTCCCTGGGATGTGAGACATATGGAGATAAAAATCCACTCCCAGAAAAGCTGAACAGAGAGAGTGGCTCCCAGAGCTCTGAAAATCCTTCATTAGATGATAATCACGAAGTAGAATCATGTTACTCCTACAAGACAGCTGCAACCTCACTCCGAGATCCCCTTGAGAGGGAAGACAAAAATAAATCAGTGTATCACTCCCTCTCTATTTCCTGTGACAAACCACTGCAGCCTCTAACCCTCACTAACAATCACTTCCAGAGCTACGTGAGCCCCACACCAACAGAAAGCAGCACTAATATAGTGCAGCTCTTAGAGCACTGTGTAACCCAGGTGGCATCATTAAAAATCAGCTATGAAAACCAGCACCTGGAAGACAAATACATCGGAAATGAAATGAACAGTATCATTCATAAGATGTCTCAGTACAAAAACAAGTTATTGTTACACAATGAATGCAGCTGCCTCGCTCAAATTCCAGAATACCCCAGTATTCCTAGCACAAACCAATACAACTATGACACAAGTTTCCAGTCTAGCAGTCTTTATAACTTAAAGCAGAATGGGGAGCAAATTTGCTCTGAAGATCAGAAAAGTAGAGCAAAAATCCTAGATGAGATTACTCAAAGCAAGATCAATTTTGAATATGCCCAGCTGAATAATCAAGCACTCTCCTATTTAAAGGACTTTGGTCTCAGTCCAAGTGATTCTGGCCCTGAGACATCTCTTAGCAGACCAACATTTTTACCTCTCTTTAACTCTGTCTGCCCAGACATAGCTGGTACCTTCTCCCAGGGCTCACACAGCACGGTTGTCTGTCTGTCTGACCCACTGCAGCCTGAGGAGGCCAAGCAGTGCAGCCCAGGGCCCTGGAACTGTGGAGAGAGCTCCTGCCATGGCCTGGCTGCAGGGACTGCTCTGTCCCCTCTCCTAGAGGCAGTAGCCCTGGATACAGCCGTGACAGCCAGGAACCACCAGTGACACACCTGCATGGAGAAGGTGAGTGCTTAGGGGTAGGGTGAAATGAAATGTGAAACAATTCAATCTGTTCCCTTTTCACAGAGGGGCATTTAACAGCAGAGGAGGCAGAGGGATTCAAGGTCTGTAATTTATGCAGGGGGTCACATGAGAAACCAGGGATCTGCAGTGTGAATTCATAGTACAGATGTGCCCTGTCCTGCAGATGCACACATGTGGTCTGCTGTCAAGCACAAAGGAAAGGCCACAGTGCTGTGCTTGTTCTTCTAAGAGTACGCAAAAGGATGGTCCTCCTTCTTCCAAACATGAAGTGTTTCCTCAGAAGGTGCAGATTGTCTCTGGACAAACTGTGCCTTGGCAGAGCAAGAGCTGAAGCCAAGGCATTCTCCATGTGCAGAGCTTGACAAGCTTCTCAAGAGAGGGATTACAGGTGTGTGCTACACCTCAAGCATTTGAAAATCCTTCAGCCACACTCACATAGCCTAGGGAGAGCCAGAATCTACCCTGCAAGTGGGGTAAGAAACACCTTTGCTGCAAATCGGAATCAGGTGATGGAGCAAGGAGCGATTGTGCTGGTTCAGGTTTGCCTGTCACACGGGGCTTTAGGCCAGAGCAGGCACTCTCTGTACAGAGTTCTAACTCTGTGCCAGCTGAGAAATCCTCTGGCCTGAAGCTGCTGAGAGGAATTTGTTGTAGAAATATGAAATTTGGGTAAATTCTCTGTCATGTGCGCTGCCAAGTCTGATGGATTGGCTGGACTCTGCCCAGCCTTGGCCTCTGAGAAGGCCCCTTTGGAGGTGGTGGAAAACAAAGAGGAGACAAGGGTCAGGACAAAGAATTAAGGAACAGCTCACTGTTGAACAGAAGGATACAGGGAACATAACATTTCTTTGGCTCTTGCTGCTCACAGCAGTGTGACTGCTTTCTGGTCATCTCTAAAGGCTTCCCAAGCAGCACAAATGAAAAAGGACAGTGTTTCTCTCTGTGTGGGACAAGAACACTCTTCAATTTTCATGTCTGGGTAGATTCAGCCACCCGCTTTTCTATTTACATCACTGTGAAAATGACCTTGCCCACTAACAAATCTCCCATTGCAGACAGGGATATTTTTCAGGGGTCTGCATGAAGCTAAGGGCCAGACTGTCAATCTTCCATACCCTTAAAAAACACATTGTATAGTTATAATCTGTTCATCAGTAAATTAGGTCTTTCTCAAATGAATGATGTGGTCTTGGGTTTTTTTCCATTTTTGTTGTAAACAATGTTGCATTTGTCATGGTTCTGCAGATTAGCAACTCACTTTCTTGTGTCACCAGAATATTTAGCAGAACTTGCCATCCAAGGACACACCATAGTCCTTAGAACTATCATCATCTATATCATCACGATATCATCTCTTTTAGATATTTCTGAAATTATAAACTGAGTACACATGAGGCAAGGTTTGTGCTTACAGCTAGTATATGCATGGAACCAGGACTAGGCACAGCTGCTTGGGGTTAGGAGAACAGATCAATGTATGCATTGGCCTGATATTTTTATTTTGCTGTGAATATTAATCCACAGGGTACTGCTAGGAATATCGCTGCCTTTGCAGGCTAGGAATGGAAAGGAATTCTAATTTTGAGAAGTGGAATGACAGAAAGAGAGAAGGGAGCTGTGTGACTGTCAGGAGTGGAAGCAGACTTTACACTGAGCAAGACATAACACAAGTAGACATTCCTGGACCTGAGGCACATTCTTTGCATTGTATCAAGTGGCAGCTGCTGTGTGCCACCACGTGCCAGCACTGATAATACCTGCCATGGCAGGAATGTGACCAGGTCACGCTTTCACCTGAGTCCCAGAGAAAAGACAATTCAAGCTTTTTTTCCAAGAGGGAACTGCTGATTTTTGATAAAGGTTTCTCAAACAGTAAAATGAGTGAAATTTTAGAATATGGATGGGATTTACATATTCATAAAGTGGCTTTGAGGACTGGGCTCAGTTTAAGGAATCACTTAACAGCAAGGTTGCTGTTTTTTACAATTTTTTACAGAAAAAGAATTTAGACAATTGTTAAAATGTCATTTAAAAGAACTGGCTGTGGGGACAGATACAAACACTGGTGTGTGACTGAGTTTTCCTGCCCGATATTTTCTTGCCTGCCCACATAAACAGATGGCCTACAGGTTTGCCGGAAATTTTCAGTCTTTGTGAAGATGACTCAGGAGCTTTGCCTCAGTCATGGGGATGGTAGAGCAGGAGAGGCAGTGTACAAACATGGTGTCACCTCTGAATCCATGGAGACAGACAGCCCTGAGAAACACTCCTACGCTGGACATGACTGTGCAAACTGCGAGAGCTCAGACACAAAGAGTGCTCAAAATGCCACACCTAGAAGCTGGGAGACAAGTGACAGATCCAGGAGTTGCTCCTGCTTTGTCCCTCAGGACAAATGCAGCCCCTGATCCTGCCATGGACTCTCAGGTCTGACCTGGAGGAAGTGGGAAGAAGATCACCTTTCTTGCCATTTGTCACAGGGCAGAGGAAAAGCCCTTATCAAAAGCCATTAAAATCTCCAGGTTTTGTCAGCCCATCTCAACATATTCCAGGAGCCAGAGTAACAAACAAGCCCAATCTCTCTGCTCCAAAAGGTGTGCAGGATTCTCCTGGGCTATGCCTGGTCTCTTGGGATTTGCTACCCTGATGAGCACAGACACAGGACTGTGCTGAAGAATGGCACAAGAAATGTCTGTCACAGCTCCTCTTCCATTTCTCCCTTCCCTGGCCTTTTAGAGAGAAATCTGCAAATGCCTTGTATCTGAGCTCACCAGGAACCCCAGGCTTCTTCACATGGGAATATGGAAGGCTTATGTAGAAAGTGAGAATTACAGATAAAAAAATGCAATGAAAAGTATAATTGTCATTCTTCAGGATCTAAAGATTAGGACTTAACAGTGTACACAGTCCAACCCCTGAATACAGAGAGGATTCCTAGATCCGTACATTCATGGATCATAGAAAATAAGCTGCAGAAATTTGTGATTTTCAACCATGTGTTTTTCATAAGGAAACTTCATTTTCAGAAAGGAAGCACAGTTCTCAAGCAGTGCATTGGGAGGTCTTTTCCTGACTCTTAAAACCCCTGGAAGTGACCAAACAAACATTGGATGTCATAGCAATTGAACATGCAGAACAAAACACTCTGCAAACAGCAGCATTTCAGACCACTGAGCCATTTCTACCACTTAATGGGGTTTGAGCTGCATCTTCCATTAACTGGTAGATGTGACAGAGCAACAAAACCTCTTGTGCCCCCAACAATATGTGCTCACTTCATTCAAATGCTGAACTGCCACATTATGCACCAGTTGAAGATTTTGGATGTGTTTCAGTGATAGCCCTGAAAAGAGTGCATTGCAATAAGCTTGCCCTCAGGTCAGAAAAAAATACATAACTGTCAATCAAACAGGGATTGCTACAATAGATGGGGGAGATGTAGATAAAAGAAGACAGTATTGTATATGTGATTGCTGTTATCAAGGAACTGAGATTCAGAAGCAGATAAAATACAGCCTAGGCACTGCAAAGTGACAGAGGATTGTGTATCTGATCCTCATCAGCTGAAGGGCTACTCACAGTCTAGGCAATTCCTGTAATGCTTTTTATTCTCTTCTGCTTCAGCTTCACTCCCTCTCTCTTGAATAAAGTTGTATTTCTCCCAGGCCAATAATTTCTCTATCTGATAGGCATAGAGAAGGCAGACTGCAATATTTGATTTTGATAAAAAGGAAAAGCAGAATGAAGTCTCATCTGAGTATAGTTAGTTTTCTGCTCAAGTAGGTTATTATTTCTCAAAATGGTCAGGTGAAATGGTCACCTTAAAACCTCTGTGCACACAGCAGGAAAAGTGTATGGTAGCTTTTGAAGTCTGGTGTAAGAAATCCTCCTATTTCCCTGCTCCTTCCATGGCATAATAAAGGCATGGTCTCCCAAGCTGCACATGATGAAATGTAACAAGACTACAGCACAGAGACAGCCAGCACATTTTCTGCACTGGAAATGCCTCTGGCTCTGAAATACACACCTGTGTAAAGTCAGTTACCCAGAGAATGTTGCAGTGGGTACTGAAATCTCATCTGACAGCCCACTGGCCACGCACACACACTCCTGATCAGACAAATGCATCACAAGGTACAAACGCTGTGTTTGTCACACGTGGTACCATGCAAGCAAAGAGCAGGGAGACAGAGGTGACAGGTCACTGCCTCTGCTAATACATTTGAATCTTAGTCACCATGTGCCCAGATACTTGGGCTAAATGCTAAATTAAACGATTTTCTCCTTCATTAAATGCTGTTGCTTCTGGACTTGGCTCTGTCTCACTGCACTGTCTTCATGGTACTTTGTCATCAATGCTCATTCTACCCAAAATCAGAATTCTGTCAGGGGGAAGAAATGTTCTTGTGTACTTGCTAAAGGAGGGTTTTTCCACACAGTTATCAGCACAGATAATCTCTGAAATGCCAGATGCACTATAATGTGTTTCATTTTAAAACTGAAGAAATTGATTTGCTGCTTTACCCGCTATTGCAGCAGGATGGTTTCCATGGATACAGTCTTATAGGGACTCTATTTTCCCCCTGTTGACAACAGTGCAGAAAGCTAAATTCTCATCTTCACTGCACCAGCATGAATTTGAAGCTAGGGCAATGATTCCCAGATTTAACCCTGAGAGCAGAAGTTGGCTCCCAGGCCCCTTCAGCCTTGAATTTGAGATTTCCAAGGGGATAGCAATGGAGGGAAAAAAGGAAAAGAACAGCAGCATGGTCTGAGAGACAGGACATAATGAAACACACAGTGCCTCTGTATGAGAAATGGGGAGAAGTCAAAACAGAATGCAAACACATTAACTGCTCATTCAGAGGCTTAGTGTCTTGTCTGACATTGAAGTGTAAAAATATAAGCCAGATTTGGGCTACAGAAGTTCAGCTATAGAATTATGGAATTGGGCCCTTTTTGTTTAAATGAATCAATTG